ACGTATTTACATAAAAATGGTCGTCTAACTTTCCGATGAAAATAACTTATCACGTAAATTGAATCAGAACTGGATTTGACATAAGTGCGAAATTTAACAATTATTATTTAAGCTTGAAGCTTATAAAATTCAATAATAAAATACCGTAATAAGTGTTCACATGTCCATTCATGTTATGTGGTGCTAAAGGTATAATAAATTAAATTTGTAGTGCTAAAAGTTATAGAGAATTGTAATACGTGTGGAGAATCTATGTACATGGTATTAGGTGAAGAACCCATTAAAATGATATAAATAACTAGTTAAGATTTGGCAAAAAGAGAAATGGCTGCTGGTAAATATATATTTTGATTGTAAGCGTATTGACGTAATATATGTATAATTAAGTGGTAGAATTATGAAATAGAGGATACTACACGGTGGTGCGAAGATATGAATTTTATTTTCGAGTGGCAAAACAATATTTTATGAACGAGCGCAGCGAGGGAGTAAAATATTGTTTTTGACACGAGAAAATAAAATTCATATCTTCAAGCCGCCGTGTAATGTTCTTTTTATTATATAGACAAAAAGACATCGATAAAATAATAGAGGGAAATGACCGAAATTACGTTATCGATAAACTCACGTGTGAGATTATGGAAAATAAACCACTCGGCTCCCGAATGTAGTTTTTATGAATTTTACGAGTGGTATATTTTCCAGTAAAACACTCGTGTCTATAATTAAATAGGATTAGTTTATGGTGTAACTTGTTGTTAGTAAGAAGAAGTGTGTGGAGTTTAGTAGAGTTGCAGTATGTCTTTGAGAGTTCCAGTATGTGTGGGTTGTGCTATTTGAGTAGAATGTTCTTGACCAGGGCTGAGTTGCTCAAAGTATACGGTTAGCTTTAACCATTGGTTAAGCAGTATCAAAACCAATACGTTGTCAAGGTATTAAACGCTGGTTAACGCTAACCATGCTTCGAGCAACTGGGCCCAGTTTGTCTGTCCGTTTGTCTTTATTGTATAGAGTCTTGTAGTAAACAGTGGGCCTGGTAACGTCATTAGTCTGTTTGTTTTTGAGGCGTTGGTGAGCAGTGCATGTGATTCATGGAAATAAATGTTCAGTGATCAGGGCTCAGTTGTTCAAAGGCCGATTAGTGCTTAACCCAGGGTTAAATTTAACCAGGGTTTCTTTTTCTTAAGCTCCGTCCGGTGAGTAAGTTTATATGAAAGTGATCATTACTTAGAGAGGGGAGGGGAAGGGAGGGCTTAAGCAAATGGAAACTGAGTCACGTTTCCGAGATAAATAGCTGGGTACAACAAGTGTCCAGAGGTGAGCGTTTGTTAGAGAATCAAAAAATGAACCAAGCAGGTTTTATTTTGAGTTAGAAAACCCAAATTTAGGGACAAATATAGATAAGCTGTTTCGAGCATTTTTCGGTGTTTTTGAGTTTTTGAGGTCTCGCCGCTTGTAGTGCAAAGGGAGTACCTTCATTTCTCAGTCATTTTATGATACTGATGTTTGTCCGACCCCGGAAATCCAACCCACGACCTCCCGCTCTGCAGTCAAGCGCTCTACCGACTGAGCTAATCCTGCTGCGGTAAAAATAGTCAAAGGGACGCAGTACGATGGAAAGAGAATAACAAAAAAAACTGCTTAACAATGAGGAGGGTCAGTAATAGTTGAAGAAGGCGTTCCTCGATTTGCTCAAGCCCTCCCCTCCTCTCTCTAAGTAATATATGATCGCTTTCATATAAACTTACTCCTAGTCCCCGGACGGGACTATTTATCCGCTTTTAATAAGCGATTTTCAAGGGCCTTCATGCTGACAACCGAGCCTAGATCACGCCACACCCAGTTTCGATATAGAGCCAACTTATGTGAAGTATGATTCACAAGTGTGATATGTTAACGCACACCGCACGTTTGTGACTGGTAAATGACATTAACTGTTTCTTCTGGAGCCTATTTGCTGAACGCAATCGATTGTGAAAACGCAGTGTTGCAATTCATTGAAAATCAAACAGCTGCCATTTGCTTATTTGAAAGGTTTTATAAGTTTACGCCTCTCAGCGCCGAGAAGGAAGCCCTAAACAAATGCAGCTGTCTTGGTTTTTTGTAATATTGGCTTCGGTTTCTGACTGATTTCAGATTTGCCGATTTCCGGATTTTCGGGCTTCTACATTTCCGGTTTACGTGTCAACCTGCATTCGACTTTGTAGAGCCGGTTGAATGGACGGTTTATTCGAAGTCATACTACTTAAATCTCAATTTTCTGACCCAAAATGAAACCTGCTTAATTGATGTTCTGATTCTCGGGCAAACTCTCACTTGTTGTTTTACCGAGCTATTTAGCTCGAAACGTGACACAGTTTCACCTGTTTGGAGCTTCGGATTGTCAGCATGGGATTCAAATATGGCCGCATACCAGCAGTTTCTAAACCACATTTACTGGAATTTTATGGAATCTGGCATCTCAGAGATTGGAATATGGCTCAATTTGTTGGTCACTGCCAGTAATGAATTAGGCAAGCCGTACTTTTGACAAAATCTGCTTGAGATAGATCCTTAACGCTAGAGCTGAAAATATCGCAGAAGCTTGCGTATGCGTCGATACAAACGGTCATAACTTTTAAAATACTGAAATCGTACAGGGGTTTTTGTATATTCTTAATAACAGATGATCTATCTTTTTGTGTGTTTGGTCTAGAGCTTTCAGCTAGGTCCCAAACGTCAGAAATAAGCTTTTAAACCAGGGTCATTTTTGGCCTTTCGCTCCAAGGCAATTACTTGGGGTCATATTTTGCTTGATTTAGTCTTTCCAGCTAAATTTGGCGCCGGAATAACTAATACTTTCATGTAAAACTGGAGGTGTTTACCTATAAATAAATATAAAATTCATTGGCAGATGGTGCAAATCAAACAGTTTACAGCGCCGCAAAAATGCCTCATTTTCAATTTTCAAGACGTGCAAATTGGCCGTGGAGTGACAAAATACTTAGCGCCCCACAGCGCGGCAAGAAAATTATTGTAAATCAAAGCAAACCTATTTTAGTTGTAGTCTCGATAAAGCCTTTCACTTGCCAGAGTTTCAGGTAAAATTTTTTTTCACGCGAAATTGACTGGGCGGTTTTTACTTAGGCTGCCTTTTAAATACTATTATTATTCATTCAAAATATTTCCCCAATTCCGATTGGCTAAAAACACACGCATAATTCACCATAACCAGTTACTGATGGCCAAATTTGGAAGAATTTTGTGTTTAACGAGGAAATGACGTCAAAATGCAGCCCTCTACAGGTTAATGCACCGTTAACCGAGAAGACCTGGGGACGAGGTTGAGTTGTTTTCGTTGTGAAACTAAAATGGCGGACACTTCACTCGTTTCAAGAGAAACGAGAATAGTTCAAAACCACTTAAACATAGCATTGCTAAACGTATTTTATTATTTAAACGGTAGATATAGGCATATTTTTATTCTCTAAAAATTTTCATCCGTTCGGATTTTCTATCTGAAAGTCAAGTGATCCGAAAATTACAGGGATCAAAACTTACCTTTTCGAAAATTTTAGCCAGAAAAAAGGCTCCCGAAAATTCTAGGTGACTTTTTGAGGGTAAAAATCTGTTAAAAATGGGCAATTATACCGTTTTTTAGGTGTTCGAAAATCCTAGGAGACGCAGGCAAGCAAGAAATTTTACGACAAATGTTCCAAAAATTCTAGATCTCAAATCGTCTTCCAAACATATATTTTCCGAAAATTGACGTTGGGTGCCCCTGACTACAGCTGAAACTAGGGGAAATAATGGCTGAAAACAGAAGAAGACAACTCGGAGGGCGACATCTGCTATTTGGAGCATATTTACGGAGCTGGAGAAATCTAAACGTACACTATCGAAGATAAATTTAACATGGATGCAGGTAATCATGTTTCCATGTTTTTAAACCAGGAATTATTTTGAATGAATAATTAAGCAATTACTGAATTCAGCTTTCGTAGGATATGAAGAATTAAGCAGATTTCGAAGGGTGTTATCAACCTCTGCCTCGATCTGCTTAATTCTTCATATTCTACTGAGCCTCATTCATTAATTGCTAAATATTTATGATGGTAATGACCATCATTTTAACTGTAGTATAAATAAACACATTTTTATTTCGTCTTAAATTTCTTAGTGGTGCACACGATAACCTGAAAAACAGGCGTGCTTTGCGCTTTCTCCCCAAAACCCGCCTGAGCGTCCCCCAATTAACACACAGGTTGACAAGCTATGGAAACGAATGGCTCTTAAGGCAATGATCGCCCCAACTGACTAACATTGACCGTTCGACTGTGAAAATCCCTCAAGGGCAACAAACTTTAAAACAAATTAAAAGGACACAGCAAATTTAAAAGGGCAATTTTATGATAATTTCAGAAAAAATCAATTAATATGCTAATTTAGAAGAGCACTTAAAAACTGTCATAATAGGATACCTGTTTCACTTTTAACTTGATGTTCCTACTAGCAACAATGAACGTTGCAAGAAGCCTTTATTGCTTTACACCAAGTTCCGAGGAATGCTGCAGTGAAATAATGGTGGGAATAGACAGTGTCAAAAAACTTCGAACATTACCAAAAGCGAAAATCTCAGCATAGAACCACCAATAGTTGGGTTTAAGGACTTTAAAACTTTTGTACATTTTAAAAAAAGTAATCAAGTGTTTAATAAGAGTGCAGTCCAAAGTTTTCTGGTTTTCAGTTAACTTTAAAATACACAAGGCGAATGCACCTTAGTATTTTGCGAGTATTACTGACGCTCTATTTTCGACAGTTGTGGTACCTCGCTTAAAACCCAACATCATGTTTCTCATTGCATTGCGTCATACATTTCCTTTTCTAAAACTTCTTAAAAAATATTTTTGCTCTTGCAGCCATTTTAATCTCACTTAAGAACAAAGAAGTTGAGAAGAAACTTGTCGAACAAAGATTACGAACAACTGCAAGGGTTGAAGACCTCAATTGAGACAACAGCCATGAACATTGCACTGGCCATGAATAGTTCAACCAACACAACTCTCAAAGAGTCACGACAGAGCGACAACCAACATATTTTCGCAGAAGTTATTCCCATAGCAAGTTTGATCGTCCTTACGAATGGAGTTGTTTTTCTTCTCTTCTACAAAACGAAAAGCTTACGTACCCCAGCAAACTACCTGCTACTTAGCTTAGCCATAAGCGACTTAGTGACAGGGTTGATAAATATCCCTCTGTTTATTGCTCAAACTTTAAACTCAGGTGACTATCGGATTCTATGTGCTTCAATGCTCTTGCACAATGTGGCCTCATTTTCAATAGCCTATCATATAACCGTCATTACAGCAGAAAAATATCTTGCAGTAGTCAATCCGTTTGGTCGTAACATGATGAGTAAAAAGACAGTTTCCAAGACTGTGAGTATGGTTTGGCTTTGGTCGGCATTACTTGGAACACTTCCTTCCTTTTGGTTCGAAAAATGGTCGCTATCTCGTGAACCTTCCGCCTTATACTTTTACGTTGGATACAACATTTTCTGCCTCGTCTTCGTGTTTTTGGTGCCGTTTATGTTTATGCTTTATGCGTACTGCGTCATGTTCAGAGCTATTTGGAAATCCTTACAGAGAAGAGATTCTCGAACCTCGAAGAAGTCTACCAACGAGAAAAAGTGCCTGATAATTCTGTTGACAATGGCAGTCACCTTTGCCATCTGTTGGCTACCATTGTTTACAATGTTCTTAATATATTCTTTCAGTAACGTTGGATGGATTAATACCGCGTCTCACCCCGCCATGAAACACGCTGCGCAAACGTTTACTATCATCCGATATCTTAGCTCTGCGATCGACCCTTTGTTGTACACCTTCTTTAAGCAAGATTTTTGGAATGCTTTTCGTGTTGTTTTCTTGAATGAGCGCCAACCGAGAACTCTCCGGCCAGCAGTGATCAGAATGACCTGACTGTAGATGGAAGCCTTATCGAAAACCTCGTGACTGAAGAGATGGTTGAGCTGCACCAAGGCACAGACAAAACAAAATAACTTTTAAACCACATAGTCTGTATTTACATTCTGCGGAAAAACAGGATGGTCTGTTCTTTTTATATAAAACATTAAAAACCTCGGCAAGATGGGTAAAGCTGGCTGCCGACTACGTGAAAGCGACTAAAAGGATGGCTAACAGCTATCAAGTCACACATGTAGCCACCAATAAAATAAAAAAAAAAACGTTTGCAAACAAAAACGATTTTGTAAGCTGTTAATGATAAATTCATAGTTGACCACCTCATAGTTGAGAGCTGGACTGAAACTTTGCTTCCTAGGTCCTGTACGATAGTACTGCATTGAGTATATGTGTATATAACCCCCGCTTTTTACTGTTCATAGTCCTGACAAAAAATGGGGCTTTTATTGTTTACTTTGAGCTCCTTCTGATCTAGAATGATGTTTATTAACGACAAAAACCTACTTCTAGCAGTACCAGTTTTAATACACTCATTACTAAGACTTCCAAATGATCGCTTGCAATAAATGTTAGCTATATTGAATATGTTAGTAATTTTGGTAAAAGCTGCTTGAAATTGCTTGACATTTAGCTTTGTTTCTTATGTAAATTGTTATCTTGCGCATTTTGATCAGCACTTTTGGCCATTTACTGAATATGAATTTATTTCATGTAGTAAAAACGAAGAAATACGAGAGAATAAGGAAGTATATCAGTCGAGAACGCAAGTCTAGGAGCCTAATACGTTAGTTGCAATAAATACGCCCATTCGCCCCGAATTACTCCATTCCACTTTCATGCCTACAACGCAAGCTGTCAATAATAGCGCTGAAAAGTCGTTCGGTTTGTGGCATGAAGTATAACTGAGATAGGAGAAGGACACGCCCCAATTAAATACTAAGGAGGTGAAAAATAACGAAATTGCCAAACTGACGAATCTATCAGTTTATTGCCCTGATAATGTTTGAAGGATCGGGAGGAAAACGATTAAGAATATTCATCTGTAACTTAAGTAAGAAATATATTATAGGTAACGCTATTTTTCTTAAGGTGGCTGAACACAGTTTTGCGGGCGGTCAGCGGTGACTCGCGTGACCGTAAGTGTTTTAACTTAGACAAACAAACATGGCGGCGAAAAAGCAATGGTACACAGATGACGATTTCTCAAAATCTACTCATCAAGATTTTGTGATATTTGGCAGAATTTTTACTTTTATCGTATTTTAAATAATGAGAACTTTAAAATGGAATTTGAACAGACGATTTTTGTGACACATTTAATAATTATAGTACAATTGTATTATTGATTATCTGAAAACCCCTCTGTTAAAATTTGGTCAAATAAGTTTCAAATGATAATGATTAATTATAGTAAGCTGTGTGTAAGTTTATAGGAAAATCTAATGAGTGAATTTTCCGTAAACTGAGCAGAAGTGAAATTTTAAGGTTGTATTCAATCGTTCATGTTGCCATGGAAACTACGAAAATGTCAAATTTTACCTGTCAATCAAAATCTTTCATCAATATATTTTCCACTTGCCAAGTTTCAGCTTGTGAGCTGCAACCCTTCTCTTGCCATGATTTAGCAAATGACATATACTCAGAAACTGCCAAAACTGTGTTCAGTCACCTTAACTATGTGTATGAATTTTAGAGAATATTAAAGCTCTAGATAATATAACAAAACAACAACAAAACATGATGGAGCTACTGTCGAAACTGGTAAACAAGTGACTTTTACAGTGACTGTAATTGTCTTTCAAAGTAGCTCGGCACAGCTATGTATTTGTGTTTATCTATTATTATTAAAATTGGTGAACACTGAGACCACTGAGCCTTTCTAGTAACAGTGAGTGTAATTATAGCCTTGGTCTTGTTTTCTCGACAGCTTTGTTTCTTTTATTAAAATTGTGCTTGAATAATATTTGAATGTTAATAAAGTGTTTGATTCCTTTATCTGTGAAAAAATTCGTTGAATTATCGAAACGTTGTTTAACTACCTTTAACTGATTTCAGAGCTAAATTTTTCTCCAGCAGTTTGTAGAAAGATGACTTAAAATTGTTCAAGAGAAGTATTCCTCCAGTGTGGGACGATCCAGATCGAAAAAACTTGAAGTTGAATTTCCGCAAAGGCAAGTTAACGCATTTCTTAAGGGCACACACGACATACAAGTTTCCGATCGAGCTTAGACCTATTTTAAGGTTTTTTTAAAGTTCATAAACTTGAAATACTCAACAATGTCTCCAAACAACCACACGAAGGACGTACGCACATTCGACATAGAATCATTGAATGCTTCCATTTGCGCTGTCAGGGCGGTCCCTCTGAACGGTGCCATGAGATTTACCCTTAAAGGATAGGCCAGGTCTCCGTATATGCACATCTGTTGGCCAGTTTGGGATACAGCATTGTGCTCCAAAGCGGTGAGAAAATTAGAGATAGCCAACATGGCAGCATCATGCCTCTTTCCTTCTGAAAACACCATTGTTCAAATGGTAAATTTTTCTAAGCCAAAACCGGTGACTTAAAACCAAAACAAAAGAGACTTTGTAGGAATAACTCGTCTTACCCACAGGACCGAACAAATGTCCAATAAGCCCATTAGGAAGCGCAACAGCCTGAAATTTGAGGGCATGTACCCTCTTGTGCCCGTTATAAACAAGCCGCTGGTTTTCCCCCGTCCTGCAAATCGGGCGGACAGTTCCATCCACAAACCCAAACCCCCACTTCTGTTAGCACCACTTCTCAATTGACCACTGTAATCATAACAATTTTATTTCTCCGTTTAATTTCTCAGTGGCGCACACGTATAGCTTTAGCTTCTTGATTTACCCAACTGAGTTACATTATACACTTAATGTCAGATCCCGAGGGAAACAGTTTCTTCCCTAGAAGAAGTCGAGGGAAACATCAGGACTCGAGGAAAGACAAAACTAACTGGTTTCCCGAGGGACCTGACATAAACTGTTTTGTTATATTTCTAGACTTTCACTTCAACAGTGTTTTTCTCGCCTTCTGTCAAGCCACTTTCCACCATGCTTTGATCACGTGCTGTAATGTATCCGCTCAAATGTAATACGTTCGGGATACATTTGATTTTAGTCAAGGCTATGTGACCAAGAATCAACCAATGGCAGTCCCTGTTTAGTTGAGTGAAAGTCTAGGAATATAACAATTATAATTATTATTTGATCGTTCGACTAAACTATGAAAGAAGAAGTCCGCCAAGCAGGAGCCTCTAACCCTCGGGCGAGAATGTTTAAACAAATTAAAGAAAAGAGCGAGTTAGAAAAGGCAATTTTATGGTAAAACTATATAACAAATTATCATAATTTCATGCTTATTTCGAAAAGCAATGCCCAACGCGGTTATTTTTATAGAATGTAAATGATACTTTACCCGCCGCTATCAACTTTAAACGGTACACGGAAAACACTCTGAAACTTTCTTTACTATTCTTAGTGTTTGTTTCTTTCTTTATATTAGAAAAACTCAGAAACGTTAAGAAAGGCGAAATATATGGTACTTATCCTCTGATAAGATCTTGTTACGCCCCTTCAATTTGTCGTGTTTTTAGATCATCTTTTGTCATAAGAACTAGTGGATCTACCCGAAGCTTGTGTTCATCATTCAACATGATGTTCACCTTAATTATGCCTTTTCCCGTCCCAATTCTCTTAATAAGAGCTAGAATATGCTGGTTTGCCTGAGCTCTGTTTACTGGGCAAAATAAACACAACTAAGTGTGGAGGAAAATGGCTATGAGCCTGTTCTCATAGCTGCGTTTATTCAAATATGCATTTTCAACAAACTGTTTGTAACAGAATCGAGGCCTGTGAAAGTGAGGGCACAGAAAACGCCATACACAATTCTGGAGACCACCGGTGCTGCCCCACTCCAGGCAAAGCCAGTCAACAAAACAACCCTAGCTGAAGAACCCTCAAGTAGACAAACTTAAAGCAAGCTATCTGAATCAACAGGCCAAGAGGATAAGGAATAACTAAAGGGAAATAACCGAGACAGCAGCCCTTGTGTTAAACTGTCAACAATGACAAAAGCAGTGTGGTACAGCCGCCCTTGCAAGCTACCCAAAATGAAACCCAGTTTCTACAAAACGACACTAGAAACACTTGAAGCAGAGAAGCATGATACTGAATAACGAATTAATTGCACACCAAAAGAGAGCGCGTGCATATTTAAATGACGCGCACACACAACCTACACTAACTGAAAGGTCTGAAAGGATAATAAAAAGGTTAAATTCACAAAGGAAAAGGTGCAGTGACGGTGGCACCATTCAGCCATTGATTGACAGTCAATGTTAGACTATTGTAGCACTTCAGGTCCGTATGCGGTGTGTTATGCCGCAATAACACTGTTACTATTAGCGGGTCTTGGTAAAAAAAAAAGTGTTCTACTATCACAGCACTAAATCTAAAACACTGTTCATTCCCTTAATTTGACCGCGGCAAATACATCACAGTTTAGCGATGGGGGGGAGGGGAGGGTACTGCCACACATGGGATTTATAGGTAGGGGTATAGAAATCAGAGAGTTTGGGTCCAGAATAGGTTTTTTGCTCCAGCGAAGGCAAAACGTGTGCAGTAATAATTTAGGGGCGTAACAAACCAAAAGGAAGCATATTCATTACTTTAGGCCACGGAAACCGGGATAAGATCCGACTTGGTGCAGGGCCACTAGGCTCGAATGAAGACTTTTGTTTACAGCGAGAGATTCCTGCCCTGAAAATCATGATCTAAATGTACTTTGATGGAAATCTTGCAACGGATACATCTTTAACAAAAAAATCTGAGGTGCTTGAGGACGGTGCCCACTAACGGGAAGTATTTTTTCCCAGATAATGGCTATGTGAGACAAGTAGATCATATCAGCGGCTATTGAAATCCAAAAAGAAAAGTGGGGGTAACCACGTATTTTTTAGAGATAACTGCGCTTCGATATGGAGAAAAACGCAATGGGCATTTTTTAGAGAAATGATAAAAAGTTATTTTTCCCCAAATTTCAGAGTGTACACGTAAACTGGCACAAATGCAATGATAATTGTAACAAGGTTTCAAAATAAGCAACAAATCATAACATAACAACTGCTCTTTATACGTCTTTTTTGAAATGACAGCGCAACTGGGAAGTTATCACCAGTTACCCCTCTCCACGCGTTTGCCTTAAAAATAGTGTAAACGACATTTTCCCCGAACCAAAAATTGATCGTTTGCTGAGTAGGCTTATTACTTTCATTTGGTAAGATAAAAAGTAGGGGTTACCACGCGTTTTTATAAGTTAAATGTGTTGGTTTCGACCTTAACTTAATCGCTTTGGGGGTTACTAACAATTTTTCCCATTCCCTCCCTGGTCAGTTTCACTATTGCTTCACTCAACGCGGAGTACTCTGGGATATCCACAATGGCTGACAGTCAGAGAACAACAACCCACGGAAGAGAGCAAAAACAGAAAGTGAAGCAGGACATTTCATGGACTATAAGGAAAACAAATTATACCATTTCATTCAACTGGAGCTTCTCCGTCTTAAAAATTTTAAAAAAATTTTTGGAGAAGAGCAATCTCTTAGGTATGAAAGATTACTTCCAGCAAACATAGAGTAGTATAGTGAGCTCAAGATCCAAGGCTGGTGCTGTAAACAAACTACTGTACTGTAGTGGAAAATAGCCGACAGGGACTCTTAGACAGGTACTCCTTCAATCGTTTGCTTACCTGCACATGTCCTCAAGAGTTTTTTAATTGTAGATGTAATATGGATTGTAAACCTTCTATCCTTTGTTATCATCTTACCGGGTACCTCAAACTCCAAAGTTCAATCATTTGCCGAGCTCAAACGGCAACTAGTGCTTTTGACTTGGTTGCATCATCTTCTTGACCTTGATGGAATCAAGGAACACAGATACAAAACGTCTACGCATGCGCCAGGTTAAGCATTTCCGGTTACTTTTGCAGTCACACTTTCCAGTCAGATCAAAGTCTTCCGCGCGCGCTCGGTTTCATTCTGTTTGCAGCTTGTGGTCAGGTTCAGTTGTTCTGCTTCATGCTGTTTGTGTTTTTGACTATTTTGTAGTTATTGAAATTTTTTTATGGATAACCAGGCACAGATCACTGAAACAATTAGTCGATTAGATTCAGAAAAGGTAAGTTGATAACTTGTGTAATTGTGGCTAATTTGAACGTCTGGTAAACTGATTTTCTCTCACGAAAACAAAGTTTTTCACTGCCATTTTTCACTTAACCTGGCTAACACCGAGTTGCTTGGGTAGAAAGGAATGTAGTCTATTGTTTGACTTTATTAAATATTTACAGGCGATTTTGGTTGATGATTGCGTTCGAGGTACGAGAACGCAACTCCTAATTTGTGTTGGGTGTTTTGTGCATTATTGGTTGACCTGTGCAATTAATAAGGAAGGTTTTTTCGAGATTGCATCTTCGTCGTCGTCGTCGACACAAATTTGCCTCGCTTTGAGGCGCTTGCTTACGTTTTGCCTCACTTTGACGCGCTAACTCACTTGGTGATTCGTGTGTCCTCGGCACGTTTGCTGAGGTCTGCTATTCTGTCTTCGTAAATCTTTCATCTTTTAAAAGTGTGCTGAATTTTCGTAAAGTGTACATATTTAAGAGTTTGCTGAAGGCCTACTATCGATCTGTGTTTACTGAATCTTCCAAAGTGTTCATCTTTCAAACGTGTGCTGAAAGTTTACACCCTGAGTAAAATTTTACTTTGGATTAAGCCTTCATATTTTTGTTCTGAAAATGCGTGCTACTCCTGGCTCATGCATCAAACCGGGTTGTTTAGCTTGGTGTCTGTTGTGCCACAAAGTAAATTTACCGGCGAGTTGTGAAGCTCAGCGTCTGTTGTGCCAGAAAGTAAATCTACTGAGTTGTGTAGCTAGGCGGCCGTAGTACCACAGAGTAAATCTACCGAGTTGTGTAGCTCGGCGGCCGTTATTCCACAAAGTAAATCTACCGAGATGTGAAGCTCGGCGGCACCATTTCATTGGACGTTCTTAAAAATAACTGAGAAAATTATCCAAAGAAATATATTTTAGCAAAAGAAAAAGAAACCCGGGTTAAGCGCTGATCGGCCCTCTAACAACTGCACCCAGTAGAACATCTGTAGTGCTAGTATAGCCTGCGAGCAAGCTCTCCTATTTTAGCAAGCGAAGCGAGCCTCGCGAGAACGCGTTCTCGCGAGACTCGTTTCACTCGCCCAAATAGGAGAGCTTGCTCGCAGGCTACGCTAGTAAAACAAAAAGTCCGAAGCACCCCTGGACAGTGTCTCCTAAAATAACAAGCACTTGAGACGAACCATACGATATCACGCTGATCACTAGCCTTCAAAACCTTTTCATCATGATACACAGTTAAATCGAGGTTTCGCTGTACGCAACCCTTACGTTAAAAATCTGCCATAATCATAGTTATCTATCGCAAGAACCATTCACCGTTTGCCCCCCACTGTCAACTGTACGCTTAGCAAACATATCGAACGCACTCTCCTAAGCTCCGATTACTCCTAGTAAAAAAACTGGGGCGGAAATAATAAAATTGATTTTAAAAATAAAGGCTTAAAGAAAAGAATCCATTTAACAAAATGAGTTTATCACGGCAAGCAACCAAGACACTTGTTCATGCCGTAAAAATTGGGCGCATTGTCTATTGTAATAGTATTCTGTATGGGTTACCAGCTAAACAAATAGCAAAGTTACAACGGCTCCAGAATTCCGCAGCAAGACTTATTTTTAAGATTCCAAGGTTTTATCACATCTCACCAATTCTGTGTATGCTTCATTGGCTTCCAGTAGAATTTAGGATTCATTTTAAGTTTATTATAATTACTTTTAAAGCGATCCTTGGACAAGCTCCGGGATATCTACAAGAACTCATTAGCAAAAGGGAGGAAAAGAGAAACAATTTAAGATCGTGTGCAATGGGAATCATGCTTCAAACGCCAAGAACTTTAACTAAAAAGACATTGGGTGACCGTGCTTTTTTAGCTGCGGCACCTAAACTGTGGAATGGGTTACCATCACAAATACGAAATTAGCCCAATTTTCATAGGTTTAAAGGTTTACTTAAGACCCATTTTTTTAGATTAGCTTTTTATTAGGATTTTTTAGGATTATGTATATCTTATGTTCTTATAGATCCATTGTTTTTTTTACATAATATTTTTAGTTATTTTGGATAACTTATTAATGTTGAAAATTTACTTTCATGTAATGCGCATTTGATCATATTTACATGTATTTTGCGCAATATAAATATTAAATTATTATTATTATTATTATGGTATTTCTGATGAAGAACTTCATTCCAATCTCAACAGAGAGTTTGAAGAAAAGGTCAATTGGATAAAATATGGAGTATGTTTTTCCACTGTCAATCTTCTTCTTCATGACAATGGTGAGGATTATATTCTTTTTATATTTATGAAAACAAAGGATGAAGATAAACCAAAAAATATAAAAATATGGAGTATGTTTTTCCACTGTCAATCTTCTTCTTCATGACAATGGTGAGGATTATATTCTTTTTATATTTATGAAAACAAAGGATGAAGATAAACCAAAAAAGAAAGATTTATATATCAAATGTGAAAACGGGGGATATTATTGAAGATAAACCAAGCAAAAATCTTGTAACTGGAAAAGATTTTGCAAAACTTACCAAAAAAGCCTGAAACTTGGTGCTACAAGTCTTGATTTTTCAAATCGAAAAAATAGTTAGTATTTTGTTACTCTCAAAGCCGGAAAGAAGATACATTCCGGAAATCCCAAGTACGAGGATTTTTTATTACACAAGGATGAAGACCGTTGTAAAAAATATCTCGCTAGAGCAAAGAAAATAACCAACAAACAAAAAGAATTAACCTGGCAGAATCCAAATTTGGCAAACTATTGGTCGATTCGGCTTCTATGGGGTGGAGAAAAAAAAAAATTTTGATTTAAAAAATATAATCTTAAAATTAAATAATGCAATTGACAAGCTGCGAAAATCTTACCAAAAACAAAATTTTATTTCATGAGGTCAAGGAATTTAGTCAAAAATTCCAAACTTAAATATCAAAGAATAAAAATCGAGACCATTTTACCAAATGGTAAAAAAGGCGCTCTTGTAATCGAAACTCCATTATTGTTTTCGTGGGGCATGTGGAGTGACAGAAAGACTTAATCAAGAAACTGATCAACTCACAGGATATTAAAGCATTAAACAAAGTCACACAAATCTGCCAGCAATATCTTGCGGCAGGGACCGCGGAGGGGGAGGGGCTGGTAGGGCCGCGGCCCCACCACTTTTTTGCGCCCCCGCCCCCACTTTTTGCGCTAAAAAGAAAAATAATTAAAATTAAAAAAAAGACTTGAAACAAGTTTTTTTCCGTCTATATTCCGCTATATTCTCTGTATTTTCTTTAATTTCAAACACCAGGCATTTTGTGGGGCTCCTGTGCTTTTCGCGGTAATTGTGCCCTGGGGCCGACTTGCTCCTTGATCAAACGCCATGCCTTGGCAATTGCCTTGGCCACCCCTTCGCTTCGTTCGGCAGCGTGTTTTGTACTTCCAGCTCCGGCAGAGTTTTTTTAACAGTTTTATCAGACGAAATGAAGATTATTACTAGCTTTTTCAAGCCAAACGAAGGTGAGTAGTTGTTTTGAGTTGATAAAAGTTTTATGTTTTGTCTTTCTCCTTTCGAATCAATGAAATATTCGATGGCAAGAAGAATTACATTACTTGAACAGTGAACGGCCATAGGCCTATTGCATTTAAAATCCGTACCCCCCCGGTTGAGGACTTACCTTTTCAACTTACTCCTTAAGATTGGCTAAAATTGCATTCACCCCTGAAGACTTCCGTAAAATATGGGTTTACCCCTGAAGAATTGGGTCATACCCCTGAAGAATTTGGGTTTACCCCTGAAGAATTTTGTGAAAATTAAGGCTTCACCCCCAGAGAATTCCATATTTGTTTACTCTATATCTACCCCTAAAGAAACCCTCAATTTTTATAACTTACCCCTGGAGAATTCCATGGTTCCTCAACCGGGGGGGGGGGGTGGGGGTGCGGATATTAAATGCAATAGCCCATAGTTAAAATTTTTCGATTTTCAATATGAAAAAAATTATTTTCAATTGTCAGCCCTCCCACTTTTCACCTTGCTCCGCGGTCCCTGTGCGGAAGAATTTGGGCCTGATATGGCGAGTTATTTAACTAATGGACTCTATTGGAAACAAGTTGAATACACAGACAAAAAGGGTAAAATAAAGAAAAAGAAGGAATACTTTCACTATTTCGCACAAAGGGAAATGACAAAGTTAATCCTTTTGATTATCTGAATCAATATTGCAGGGTTAAAATAGCGCTCGTTATTGAGAGTCTTTATCTCTCCAAAAATATCATTTCTTTGCAAATCAAGATACATGAAGTTTTTTATCAAACCGCTGAAACCAAGAGAAGCGTTACCATCAATACAATCTGATGATGAAAGTGAAGAAGAGTCTGAAATTAAAAAACTATCAGATATTGAAGAAGATTAAGCATCAAATTCTTTTTTAATACAAATTGTTGTATTAAAAATCTAGACATTTAGCAAGTCAACAGAAATCCACGAGTTGAATTTCTCAGGATAACCGCTCCACCTTACCAGTGCCAACTTTTTCTTGTTATCTCGTTTCAAAACTTAATCTATTCTGAAGATTTCTTGGTCTGTTTTGAAATACGAACTTTTTCATCAACTGCAAACTTTGTTTTTGAGGTTTTAAGCAAATCAAATCTCCGTACAAATTTGCAAGAACTTTTTCCTCATTTATCTTTTTACTTGCTTCAACAGGTTCCATTTTGATACTTGAATGTCTCGTGTTGTTGTAATCATCAACTAATTTATCAAGTTTGTCCCAATAAACAGTATATCTGTTTGTGGAGAACATCTTCCACATTTTGTTTTTTATAGTTTTATTCCATCTTTCAACAGCGCGTGATTTTTCTTCATTCTCAGTGTGATATAATTTGATGTTATTTTTTTAAATAAAATCTTTCAAATGTTTACTCATAAACTCAGAACCTTTATCTACCCAGAGCATTTGCGCTTTACGTTTACTCTTAAATATTTCATCGGATGCTTTACTAACAGTTTCAGTTTTTTTTATCTGCCATTGGTTTAACCCAACCGTACTTGCTAAAAACATCGATTACCATCAGCAGATATTTCACACCTTTGTTCCACTTGCTAAACTTTTTCATTTCAACCAAATCAGCTGCCCAGATTTTATCAATCCCGTTTGATATTACTTTGAAAAGTTTCTTGTGATTGGTTTGTGAAGTTCGTCGGCTAATTTTTGAGACCAATCACTACTAAACACCGTTTTACGTTTTTTTGTCTGAAGACCAAGACCAAGTTTTTGTTTAGTATTTATTAAAAATCTTGCAGTTTGTCCTCACTTTGGCATTTCACCGTAAGGAATATTATCCAATGATTGAACCATTTCTCTGTCGCAATCGCCTTTGTTTTTTTTTCCCATTTCACAACAAATATCGTGAGAAGATGCAATTTCATCACCTTTGTTATAAGGTTGAACTTTCCACTCTGTTACTTCTCCAGTGTCTGGATTAGTAACTGTAACTCAATTGTTGTTCGAGAGGATTATACGGCCCCATGTGTTTATACTTTGAAGGAGTAAAACCAGATTTTGGTCTTGGGAATTTTCCAATCCATTTGTGAATATCAATTCCTCTTCCATCTAATTCTGGTCTATCAGTTTTATATTTTAAATCAGGTCTTACTTTTGTTGATAATTGGTCTAATACTGTCCCAACAGAGTCGTGAATTAGTGGGGTAAGTTTGTTGATTCTGTTGATTTGTTGTTTTTTTCTCGTCAATTCACTTGCACCATAACGACCCATCTCAACAGACTTTTTTTGCCATCCAGGGTTAACCGTGATGAACAAAAAAATCTGCCGCACTTCCAACAACAGTGTCAAAAACATCACAGCCTTTTACTTTTTTTTCCTCTTCCAGTTTTTTTTTCCTTTTCCAACTTGACCGTTTTCTTTTACATATAACTTTTTTACGTCCACAGACAGCACATTTACAATAAAATTGTAATCGTCCACTTTTATCTCTTTGGTAACCACTTGGTTCAACACAAGGAGTTTTTCTTTTATCTACAATGCAATAAGTTTCTTCCATTTTATAATAGGTTTATATAATTATTTTAATAAAACGAATTCAAGAGTACAGTTTGTAAAAGGCGAACTTGAAAAGATTTATTAACAGTTGAATGTTAGTTATGATTATACCCCATACTCTTAATTAGAAAATGACAAAACATTTTTGAAAATATTTGAAGTACTTTTTGAGATAAAAGGTAAGAGACAAGTTGTAAAAGAAAGTTATTTAATCCTATAATAAAATGGAGACTAAATTTTTCAAAGAGATACAAAAGAAAATGAATGTTAAAACATTAAAAGATTTTGAAAAAGAATTAAGAAAAAAAAATTAGAGATGAGTTTGAAATTGAAAGAAAAACCAATTCCAATCTTGAAAGTTTTATTTGCAATTGAGTCTCAATTATGGGAAAATGTTAAAAATGGTGGGTATGGTTGGATTGAGATAGATAGAGAAAGAAAGTAAAGATTGTTTAAACTGATTAAATTTATAAAGAGTTATTTGAGTTGGTGGAAAGTGTTGAGAAATTAAATGAAAAAGTAAAAAAAAATAAGTTGAAAGAAGAAGATGATAATTAAAATTAAAAAATAATAATTTAATAAATAAAATGGATTACGTTGTAAAATTGAAAAGTATTAGAAAGTCAATGTTTGAAAAGATCAAAGAAAAAGTAATTGAGGTGAGTAAAGAAGAAGAAGAATTAACAAGAGACATTGATAAAGTTTTTGACAAATTAATTTATGAGTTGAAAAGCGGAAATTGTAAAACAAACAATGAGGAGCTAAAAAAATGATTAAAGAGTACTATGAGTTGAATTTTGCTTTACACGATGTTTAATCTTATATCATTTTTTTTATATAAGATTACAAGTTGTTAAAATAAGAAAATATAAAATCTCTGTTATCTGAATCAAAATGTTGATTATGAATAACTTCCAAAACTGACTCTTCTTTTTGTCGTTCGTTCAGATAGTACAAACACTAGTAACCACAAAGAACAGAATCTCTGTTTTGTAACTCGTCCTGAAAGTAAATTTGTCTTTTTCCAGACGTGGCTAAATAGTGATAAGCTTCATGAGGCATAATCAATCCAAATGGGTGAAAGTATTCAACAAATGAATCCAGATTTCGATAGCAAACCCAATGTGTTCCAGGTCCTTGAATATCGTCGGGATTAATTATTCCACTCTCTTTTCCAATATTTTTCGGTAAAGCGTTTCTACTGAAAATATCTCTAAAGTTCTCTATTCCAAGTTTTTTTACCCAGTCAAACAAATCAAAATTAGTCAGTGGTTTGTTTACAAAATCGATCCCTAGTATTGGAATTGAATTGAAGGTGCTGTTTTTTCCCAGTATTAAACCTTTTCCTCTGGATTTTTTTTTACCCCTGCTCCAACTGAATTTTCCCAACTTCCAACGAATCTTGGTGGAAGATATGAATAGTGTCCATCACCATGTTTTAACAGGTGGTACATAAACATTTCTTGTATTTGATGGTGCTTGTCTATCAACTTGAAGCCCACTTCCAAACATCTTTGAAACTAAACTGATTGCCATTGAAATTCCGATTGAAGCAAGTGTTCCAAGAAATCCTCCTTCAATTTGTTTTCTTGTTGGTTTGACAACCAATCGTCCTCTTGTTTGATAAGCTCTGTTGATTAGGTCTATTTGTGCTTTTGTAAACTCTTTTTTGAAAGGTGGTAACATTGGAATGTATTTCTTTGGAATAGAAATTCCTTTCCGAATATTTTATTTATTCCGAGTTCTCCTAGGGAACAAACAGCCCAGTTGCCAATGCAGGAACAGCTTTTGAAATTCCTTTCACTGCATAAGGCAATACTCTTGCTCCAAGAGATGCGAGTGATGAGAATAAGTTTCCTCCGTGTTTTACTGATTTTCCAATCCGTGTTTTACTTATTTTAATATCAGTTCCTGTTCCATTTGCAATAGATTTTTTATCTTTGCAATTTGTCTTTTTGTTAACATTAATTCATCTCTACCTCTAAGATCTGAATGTTTTAATTGAAGAGTTAGTAGTGATTTATTTCGTATTGCAGAAGCTAATCTTAACAGTTTGATTGTCTGTCAAAAATACACCGTATTCAAAATAAGTTGTCATTTATTTATAGAATTACATTAAATTAAGCTCGTAGCAAACGTTTTCCACCTTGTTGTTCGATTTCCGCCTCTCGTTTGTGTAAAACCAATGCGTATGACATTACATCTCTGAAAACTCTTGAAACATCTGATGATGGTCTGTAATCAGGGACCGCAGAGCAAGGTGAAAAGTGGGAGGGCTGACAATTGAAAATAATTTTTTTCATATTGAAAATCGAAAAATTTTAACTATGGGCTATTGCATTTAATATCCGCACCCCCCCCCCCGGTTGAGGAACCATGGAATTCTCCAGGGGTAAGTTATAAAAATTGAGGGTTTCTTTAGGGGTAGATATAGAGTAAACAAATATGGAATTCTCTGGGGGTGAAGCCTTAATTTTCACAAAATTCTTCAGGGGTAAACCCAAATTCTTCAGGGGTATGACCCAATTCTTCAGGGGTAAACCCATATTTTACGGAAGTCTTCAGGGGTGAATGCAATTTTAGCCAATCTTAAGGAGTAAGTTGAAAAGGTAAGTCCTCAACCGGGGGGGTACGGATTTTAAATGCAATAGGCCTATGGCCGTTCACTGTTCAAGTAATGTAATTCTTCTTGCCATCGAATATTTCATTGATTCGAAAGGAGAAAGACAAAACATAAAACTTTTATCAACTCAAAACAACTACTCACCTTCGTTTGGCTTGAAAAAGCTAGTAATAATCTTCATTTCGTCTGATAAAACTATTAAAAAAACTCTGCCGGAGCTGGAAGTACAAAACACGCTGCCGAACGAAGCGAAGGGGTGGCCAAGGCAATTGCCAAGGCATGGCGTTTGATCAAGGAGCAAGTCGGCCCCAGGGCACAATTACCGCGAAAAGCACAGGAGCCCCACAAAATGCCTGGTGTTTGAAATTAAAGAAAATACAGAGAATATAGCGGAATATAGACGGAAAAAAACTTGTTTCAAGTCTTTTTTTTAATTTTAATTATTTTTCTTTTTAGCGCAAAAAGTGGGGGCGGGGGCGCAAAAAAGTGGTGGGGCCGCGGCCCTACCAGCCCCTCCCCCATCCTCGGTCCCTGGTAATGAATATCACTGGGTATTCAATTCCATTTCCAACTTCAAGATAACATCTATTCAATTTTCTTGCATTGTTTGGAGGATCATTATCATGGTTCTCTTCAACTGGAAAAGTATCATACAAAAATTGACTTCTTAATTGTTATTCAATATTATAGGTATTCACCATAAAAACAAAAACAGGACGCGGTTTTGAAATTCCGTTTGTAATTCTGAAATTGATTTTGAGGTAAATATTACCGATAAAAAATCACGACGTTTCGACCTCTCCGAGGTCATTTTCAAGTGTATAAAAGTTCTCTAAATTAGCATAAATAAGTTAAAAACAAGTTATAATAGAAATACAAAGAACTGGTAATTTCAGAATTTTAATAAGTAGTTTCTTAGAACTGGAGTAACTTCACCGGTGTTATCAGCGATGAATTTAGGATTTTTTCTTGTTTGATAAGAATTATTAGCTGGCGCTGTTTCAAGAGGTTGTTCAAGATCAAAAACAACATCTTCATATCTTTCTAAGAATTTTGGATTTTTAGATTTTTATTTTAATAATTATGTAATTTTTCTCCCCCCAGTCATAATTTGTAGCACTCTACTATTTATCTCTTGTTGAGTGATTTTTTTTGGTTTAACAGTTTCAAATTTTTTGGGAGTGTATATTTTTTACTCTCACTGTTTTTTGATAACATTTTTACTATTTTATCAACAGCCTTTTTACCAACATGCTCTCCAGTTTTTGTTACAGCTGCTGTCACTGCTTTTTCAGCGCCTTTTTTAGCAGCTTTCTTCATTGTTGGACCAATTAGTTTTGAACCAAAAGATTTAAAAACATCCATAATTCCTTCTCCATAAATATGCTGTCTTGTAAATCTCCCCAATTCAGGGTTGTATTTCATTTCAAACTCTGATTGTCTCATCATTTTATTTTAAGAATTGTATTACATTGAGTGAAGTAATAAAGTCATAAACCAATCAATACCGTTAAGGGAAAGTTCATTTAATATGACAAGGGGGGGGGGGGGGGGGAAAAAGATGAAAAAACCCGAGCCTAAAAATTAAACCACCCCCCCCCCCTCCGGGCCACTTTTTTGGACGGCCCCCTCCTCGAAGAGGAAACAACTGAAACCTCACCCCCCCCCACCCCCCTCCACTCTCTCCCCCCTCCCACCCCACACCCCAGCCCGCATCTCATCATCTTCTTCTCATCTTCTCACTATGTGTCGTTCTTCTGCG